AATCCAGAGGCAGAGCTATTTAAACTCCAAAAATCATCTATTTAAAACCATGCAACAGGAAAAAGTTTATGGTGCTGTCCCCACTTCAGCTTAAGTAATACTTATTATTTCAAAAGTAAGAAAAATGAATCAGCATTCTTTTTTTTTAGGCCCACAAAGAGTATTTCTACCATAAAATGTAGGACTAATTTAGGACTTAACTTTGAGACTAAAATAATATAATCAAAATCTCCCTATCATTCCTCAGAACTGTCAAAGAAAAGCTAATACTATTTTAACAGTTGATCAGGTTAAGTAAAGCACATGGCATACTTCACATTACCTGTCAGAACATAACTCTCGGCCCCCAACATCCCTGCTCGCTGGATTGCTTATACTGATCATAAAATTACTAGTACAATATGACTTTCCTTGTTCCTTAGTCATTATTGCCATACAAAGGACATCTATACCTCCTACTTTATAGTTGTGCCCCTCCACATTGTACACTAGTAAATATAACACCATCGACCATCACCAACATTTATTGAGCAACTACCATATGTAAGAACAGTACTACAGGATACAAAGAAATTGTATCTGTCAGGTCTTACAAACTAGCTTAAAGAAAGAAGATGCATTTAGGTGAATATACAGATAGCTCTACACTCAAAAAGAGGTTGTCTCCCCACCCCCTCACTATTATTTAATGCTTAGAGGTTTTTTAAGTGTGAAATGCCCTTCATATGGGCTGTCAATTTCCCTATCGTGAGAAAAAAGTGTTATTTAGCCAGGAACTACCCCGTAAGTACTGCCCAGGTTAGTAAGCTTGAAATATTTAGAAAAACTTACCTCATCACAGTCTCCTTCAACCATGGCATATATAGCTTTCTTAACCAAGTTAGTACCTAGAATATAGATCTGAGTATTAATGAAAGAAAATGTAATTAGTTTCTTAAAGATATCTAAATTACTATATTCACAATAAGCATAGAGATATCCAATAATGAAGTCTAACTTGAACACAGATATATAGAATGTCCTATATTAAGTGAGGAAAATTAAGATTTAAGGCAGGAGAGGTCAAAAGGACTTGCACATAGGAATATATGTCTTCTCATGAAAGACCTAACTCCTGATACGCTTTTTTCTCAGTTTTAACTATTTGCCCCACGCAGGGGTTTGTGCTATTCTGGTTGAAGATTAGAGGAAAGAGAAAAAGAAAAAGGCAAGATATGGTATAGACAGAGAAACAAGAACTCCTTGAGCTGGTGAGAACTTACTGCATACATACCCCCTGAGCCAATTTTGCCAAAGATCTTCCAAATCCCTGGACCCAGGGCACAAGTCAGCCTCAACAGAGCTACTGTGCCCAGAGTGGGCCTACGTCACTGAATCCGTTCCTATAAACCCTTGAAGGGAGCCTGGCCACAATGAAGTCTGGCACTCCCAAATGATGGCAGTGGTGTGTTTATAAATGTCTAGCAAAATGTATCCTAGTTTAGGGTCAGCTATATTTGGTACAGTGCAGAAAAAACAAACTACCCACTCTGATTCTGAAAGATAGAAATCCTTATTTTTATTAATCTCCTAATTTCCAAGCTATACATAGAAACACAAGTACATGGAGAAAATAATTATGGCTGAGGGCCAGGATGCAAACCTCAAGCCGTTTCTGCCCTCTGAACCAGTCAAACAATTGCCTAACGTTTTCCATGAGTCTTTATCAATTCTTTCTAATACATTAAAGATTCAACCTCGGTCTATATAACAAGCCCAACTTGAAAAAGTAACCTAACATATTTAGAAGTAAACTCTACCACCATAAGGAAAGTTGGTTAAACCTAACATATTAAGTAAACCTATTCATAATGATTCTTCACAACTTCCAAGGCTGTGTGAAAGTCTTAAGTTGAACAGTAACACTGTTAACAGTTCAAGAATAACTACAAATGACAAAACCACTAATAATTAAATACTGCCACAAGCACCAAATATTCTTTCATGAATACTTAGCTTGGGTACATCCCAGAATTTGACATGCTCAGACAAGTGTCGGTCTACCAGACCCTCCATCTTGAAGAGCCAGTAGATCCTAGACACTAGGACAGTGGTTCTTAATTAAGTATATATCATAGTCACCTGAGGAAGTTTGAGCCCCACCTCTGACAAGACAAACAAGACTGTCAGGAGGAGTGGCCTATGCAATCGTTTTTAAACCACTCAAATGATTCTAATGACCATTATGAACCATGAATATAAAGATTAACTTCTCAGGAAAGGAAGACCCAAGAAAGAGATAAATAAGTTGTGGAATAGTAAAAAACAATCAATTCTCCTTCCTCCTAGTCCTTCTTGAATTGCTAATATGTTTGAAAACCAGGACCAAGTAATGATAAAAATGTCTCCATAATTTTGCCTTGATTGAAGCCCACTTATCCCAATTATAGACACCTGTTTGAGGCTGGGATCAAATGCCCTGAAAATGCTATAAAAACTTCAATACTTCCTGTAGTACACAGTATAATGCAAAACAATTGTTTCTGTTTTTATTATGGTAAAATGTATTTAACAGAACACTTGCCATTTCAACTTTTTTTTTACTTGTACAGTTTCAGTGAATTAAGTTGATTTTGAATGTGATAAAAAAGTAAAAACTGTTCACCTGCTACTTATTAGACAATATCTTGAATAATTAAAACATTAATATTCTTTGTTAATTCATTTTAAGAACTCTTTGAAAATACTCTATTGAAATCACAAATGAAAATAATCTGTTCGTTCTTTCAGCAATATGATATTTTTCTTACCAATGCCATTTCTCCTGTATTTGGAATCCACAGCTAACATGGCTATATAACCTCTGCGGAACATCTTTTTGTGCATATCCAACTTGCAAACGATGGCACCTACACACTCCTCCCCTACCATTGCCTTAAAAATAAACAAACAGTTATGAAGAACACATTGCCAACAAGTACTGCACAATTACTCAGCGAAAACAGCAACCAAGCATTGCTCAGCAATTTTAACGTAGGAAGAGGTAATAGGAACTCCATGAAGGGAGCAATCAAGTGAATTTCAGAAATCTATATACCAGGACTCCTTCAAATGCTTCATTTAAAAATCTTTTACTATTCCTTAAGAGATTAATTTCTTATGCTTAGTATGAAAGGCTAGGTGAAAAAAAGATTCCCACAAAGTAAATATTCAAATATTTATACATAAGGTATTTAGGATTACAATTATTTGCAATAAAGACCAATGGATTTAAGTTTTGAGAAGAGAGGGTATATGAAAAAAAATTTTAAAGCCTTCAAACCAAACCAAATTCACTGCCATAGACTTGATTCCAACTCTTAGTGACCCCATTGGGATTCCAAGGCCACAAAACTTTATGGAAGCAGACTGCCTCATCTTTCTTCTGCAGAGCAACAGCTAGGTTCGAACCACAGACCTTCTGGTTAGCAGCCAAATGCCTTAGCCATTATACCACCAGAGTTCTTTAAGAAAAAGCCTACTCATTATGATGAGTAGCAAATAGGATCTTAAAAGCTTGCAAGCAGCCATCTAGATGCAACAATAGGTCTCTCGTCAAGAGCAAAGAAGAATGAAGAAAACCAAAGATTCATGGAAACAATTAGTCCAAGGGACTGGTACACCATGTGATCCTCAGCCTATACAGCTATGAGACCAGAAGAACTAGATGGTACCCAACTACCACTGTCAACCACTCAGAGAGGGATCTATGTAGGAGATCCTGATAGAGTGGGAGAACAATGTGGAACAAAACTCAAAATCATTTTTTAAAAAAAAAGGATCAGGTTTACTGATCTGATAGAACCTGATGGAACCACTAAAACTACGGCTCCTAGATGCCCTTCATGTATGGGACTGAACCCAATCCTCTGGCTTCCAGCCAAACAAAAGACAGGCATATGAGCTGAACATTTACATTAGATAGATAACACTCCTTGGACAGAACAATCATGGAAGAACAGAAGGGCTGTATATGCACAGGAAGACAGCTCGGGGGGGGGCAAGAGTGCAAGGGAGGGAAGGACACATGGCAGAGGTAACTGGGAAGGAAGAGGGAGGGAGCTGTTGCACTGTGGGAAATTGCAGTCAATGTCATAAGACAAAGCGTATGTGAGCTGCTGTATGGAAAATGAATTTGCTCTGTAAACTTCACCCAAATCACAATACAAATTTAAAAAAAAGAAAAAGCCTACTCATTATGATATGGCAAAACGCCGTAAGATTTGCTTATAAAAAGAGTATTACAAGTTTAAATTTAATTATAGTAACACCTTAGTGAAAGATGTAAGACATGATACTTACACATGAATGGTAGTTAGATTTTGATCAGGAAACGAAATGTGGAAATTTTTCAGAAAAAGGATTTATAAGGTATGATTAAAGGTTTTTTGTTATTAAAGTTGTATAAAGAATTCCTAATGGTCTCATTTTTAGGACACTCCTGACAGTGTGGGTCATTATCATAAAAACATAGATATAATCTATGTATTTTTTTTATTTGCTATAATCAGAGATAGCGAAACCTTTAATGTAATAATTTCACAGAGCTTTCTACTTTAATAAAAATGTACAGCTTTTCAGAATGTTAAGGTTACATGTTAAATAAATGCTAATCACTCCTTTTTTAAGATTTCCACTGTTTTTCAAAATTTCCATCACTGGTAAAAAAGTTTTAGTAATACTGTGGTCTGGTAAATATAAGCACAGCATCTCCAACTGTTCAATACTGTTCCGCACAGAATACTTGTTTGCTGTAAAGTGCCCTTATTAAAAAATATAAAAACCTCAAAGTATCTATTAATACAATTATACTTCCAGAGGAAACTCTGAACAACAAAATTAACCAGACTGGATTAAAAATGTCAATTAATAAGCAAAGTCCAATTTATACCTAACAAATATTTTAACTTAAATGTGTTGTGGCTTTGTTTCTTTTTAAACTGTGGAGGTATCTTTTAGGCAAGATAATTCTAATCCATTTCACACAAACCTAAACTAGGTCAGAAAAATCCTTTTGAAAGGACATTAAACTCAACAACCCTCACTAATTGTTTTGTTTTACCTCACATTCCAAAATTATTTTGGGTCAACAGCTTCTGAAATTTTCATTTCCATTTTTTTTCGCTCAATAAATCTAATCAGTTCTTTAAAAATTATTTTGAAAACTGAAATTTCTTTCTGTATTAAGAGCTGAAATATACACAAAAGTTCCCTGAACAGCTCTGATGACGTTTTCTGATTTGAAAATAACCCACTCAAATATCTGTGTGTATACAGGCATATACGTACACACACACCACATAAAATCAACACAGACCAAATGGTACATTTAAAAGAGCCAGAAAATCTTGGGGCTCGGCTTCTTAAGCTTAACTCACTTGAGATGGAAATGTACATGTCTATAACACAAAACTGCAGGATAGCTACACCATACAGTTAATAAAAGCCATCTAAAAAGAAGAAAAAAATTAAAACTACTAAGCACAATACACAAGGGGACAGTACTTTCAAAGCAGACAGCATTTTTAAACAAATCCATGTTCTTTGACCAAAGAGATAATAAACAAACACATCAGTTCACTCTAGATTGAACTAGGTGATTTTTTCCTAATTAAGAATCTGCAGGAGCAAAAATCAAGTTGTATATATCATTTAAAAAACAGAAGCCCAATATATACAATACACAATTATTAATAAGATGTTGATAGTGTGGAATACCAATGTTTCATTTCTTTCTGATAAACTTCTGATGAATCTACACAATAATCCCTATTGCTTGTCAATTTTTCCAAGTAAGTTTTTGCACATACATTTGGAATTCACACTACTACATGCATTCTTTTTTGTTAAGGATACCAAAACCAAAAAACAAACCCACTGCCATCGAGTTGATTCTGACCCACAGCAACCTTAAAGAACAGTGTAAAACTGCTCCATAGGGTTTCCCAGGCTGTAATCTTTACTGGAGCAGATTATCACATCTTTCTCCCACGGAGTGGTTGGTAAATTCGAACCGCCAGCCTTTTGATTAGCTGCCAAGTGCTTCACTGAAAATCCTCGGCAAGATTAAGACTTAACTGTACACGACTAAATATATATAAAACCATGAAAAATACAAATTGTATGAAATAGAGATTCCTAAATTCTAGAACACTACAAATAGGAAAACAGGAGGAAGCCGGAAAGTTAAATTTAGAATAAAAGGAAGCACTATATTAAATAGCTGGTAGTAAGTTTAAAAACAACAAAAAGGCACCAACAACTCAAAATACCATGAATTAAAGAAGGTAGAGACAGTTAAAAACAGATGAATTGACAGTGTTTCTCATTTGTACAGGACTCTACTTCCATATCTGTTACAATTATTAGGAAGAATCTTAAAACTGTCATTTTTGTTATTCAATATAGTCAAATATTGGCAATTTTGTAAGGCCAACCCAATATACTCCATTCGATCCATTACAGGTTACCCATGGAAACCAGGAACAATTTTGGAGGTTTCTAGTTTCTTGAGATTGATATTTTTAAGGACAACTGCCTCTTGATGAAACATAATTTGGTGACACAAAGATCTTGGCTAAATGGGTCAAGAGTATATCATTTTTTCAGGTTCTTACTTTGTTACCATATGCCAATTAATATATGATGATTTAAACATGTTAAATCATTTTTTAAAAACCGAAGTTGAGCTAGATTAGCTAGGATCTCTTTTGGTTCTGAAATGGTAAGGTTTTAAATAAAAACACACACTTATAGTGTTTAAAAACTAGTTTTAGGTAGCTCAAATGTATGCCAACATGAAGACCACAGTTCTAAATGGCCCACTTTTAAATTTTTTCACTGTTTTATTGTTCAATATCTCCAGATTAATACTTCCACCAACAAATCTCACAAATTAATCACTTGTGCATATCTCAATTTCTAGATATCCAGAATTTAATGTATACCTTCAACAAACTTTGGCTATTAAGGGTTAAAGTCCAAACCAGTTGGCAAATTGGGAGAGGTCTGTGTAAAATCAAGACTGAAGTTGACTAAGTTTATCAGAGTCTAAAATTGGAAGGCAAGTTGAGAAAGGCTTAGGTTAATAACAGAACTCAAAAAGTTTACTAAATATCACATACACATTACTTTCTGGCATTGACAAAAATACATATACTATTTTGATTTAAAAGATGACTGATTTGTATGCTTTTGTGTGTTATCTTAAAATGAAGTCAATCTAAATTTTTAGCAATTATAATGACATTTAACATTCACAACAGTGTTCTAAAATTACTTTCTCATAATCATTAACATAGATATCTTAGAACTTCTATTTTGATACAATGCTTAGAATCCTGGAAGAGTAGCTTTTTAGAACTTAAAATAGTTCCCACAGTTTAATCAAACATACTAAACTGAACTTTAGCAAAGTGAATACAGAAACCTACACACAGTACTGTCATTATCTACACATTATATTTTCAAATTACCACCAAGCTATAGATTCAAAAGAGATTTTTAAAGTACTGTCAAAATGTCTTGCAAGGAATTACTAAGAGCAATTAGTCAGTGGTGGCTTTTCTGCTCATATAGAAAATACTCCTTAAAAGCAAAAATTCAGTGGAAACAACTGTGATCAAAGCATGTATCTGCAATCAATATTTAAATGAAAAAGATCTCATCAAACTGAAATGGAACAATGTAATTGGGAAGAAATCAATGATATTGCCATTTCTTTCATCCTAAATTTTAAACATATTAAGTTAAAAAAAAAATGAGCTTGTTCAGTAGCTAAGTCTTTTTTAAGTGAAAAAAAAAAAAGAAAAAGGTCAATTATACCCAGTGTACATTTGAACAAGATCCCCAGTGATTTGTGATTCTCAAATACACATCAAAATCACCTGGGGATCTTAAAATACAGATTCTGAATCAGTATATCTGGGGTAGACATGTAAATTCTCAGCAGAGGGTCCAAGCAGAATGAACCAGTTGGAAGCCCTGATTATTATACCCCCACACAAGCCAGTGTTACTAATATTTAGGTTTATCAGTCTCTTAAAAAAAAAAAAAAAAGTTACGTTATTAACAATTTCAGTTTCAGGATTCTTTCAGCTACCACAACTGTTAGTAGCGCCTTCTGCAATGAAGCACCAGAAAGCAGGCTGGCTACAACTGTTAATTGTCCTGTTGAACTGAAAGCAAACAATTTCCATAATCACTCTACATGCTTGTAAGATTTAATTCTCCAACGTGACCATAGTAAGTTAACTGACAGTCATGTTCACCAAAACATGTTTGTGCATATACTCTTCCCTGATTATGGCTGTAATTGAGAGATTAGTAAGGCCTATATCCGAACAGAATCAAGTTCAAATTAAATGATTGCAAAGTGCTTTGAGGACGAGGGAGGTAATTAAAGAAGGTTAAACATGATTATAAGCTAATGTAAACAGGACACAAGACCCCCAGTGAAACATGCATCATACAGGTTTGCTGCATTTACATCAGTATTAAGTTAACCCGGACCGTGATGTCTTACCTTTAAAATAGTTCATTAAACAACTAAGAGTGTGCACAGGTAGCTTCACATAATAAATAGAACTATGAAATGCAGGATACATCCGCTGCCATGCTCTCGGCCCTCACACTCCCTGCCCTGTTCCGCCTCGATCTCTGCGGAGTTCACCCTCTTTTCATTCCATCCACTTACCAAGAAGCACAGCTGTGGCCAGTTGTGGATAAAATATCTATAGGTATAAATGGAGTAGGGTTCAGACAGATCTTTGGTGATCAGTCTCATGATATCGGGCATTTGTAACTCGGATTCATATCGGACATATCGTATCGTCCGATCCTCCCCAGGCTCAACCTCCCTGCCCGAGGGACTTCTTAAACTGCAGCCGGCAGTCAGGGACGAAGACAGCAGCTCCACCTGCTCGTCGTCTTCCTCCTCCTGCGCGGTGCCCTCGGCCAGTCCATTGCGGGTCGCGGCGGGGCTGCTCGCCGTCGCTGCCTCTGCCGGGCTGGGGAGCGCAGTTCTTGCATTACTGGGGAAGGAGTGAGGGGGACTCTCGCCCGGGTGTAGCCCGGCTCCTTTTGTTGCAGTCACTTTGGGGCCCCCGTCGGGGGTGACCGGAGTCGTGGCTGCTTCGCCCGCGCTCAGGACCTTGCTCTTGAGGGAAGCAGCCGACCCGAGGTGCCGCAGTTCGGGGCTAATTAATCCGTTGAGCTGCTGCTGCTCCTGCGGCGGCTGAGGGCAGCGAAGGCACGGATGCCTCTTGGCTGCCGCTGCCGCCGCCACCGCCTCGCCGCCTGCCGGACTCCTGCCGCCGCCGCCTTCGTGCTCTTCGTCGTCCTCCTCGTCCTCGCTGCAACAGGCGGGGGCGGCCCCCACCGGGAAGGGACAGCGGGGCTCGGCCGCCGCCGGGGCCGGAGGTGCTGGCGGTGGGAGGAGGCTGCTAGGCCCAGGCGGTACCTCCGCCATCCTAGAGGCGACACAGACCGAGAGGGGAGGCCATGAGACCCGGCCGACGAGCGCGGAGCAGAGGGGGTGGCGGGTGGGGGGCGGCGGAGGTGGGGGGAACAAAGGCAGAAACCGTCCCTCGCGGAGCTGCCCCCCTAATTCCGCGCCCCCCCCCCGCTCTTCAGCGCCGCCCAGCTGCTCAGCGGGCCATAGTCCAGTCCTCCCGGGCCCATCCGCCAGCCCTCACCCGCAGCCCCCTGGGTCCCCTCCGCGAGGCTCACCCCGCACCGGTCCCTGCCGCCGCCACCGCCTCTCCTCTTCCTCCTCGGCCGCCGCCGCCTCCTTCGCCACCGCGGCCGCCTCCACCGCCGCCAAGGCTCACACTCAGTCGCCGCCGCCGTAAAGCGCCCCGGCTGTTACCCCGGGTAAAGTTTCCTGGGCCTGGCTTTACGACACTTCCCTGCCTGCCGGCTGCCGGGGCCAAGGGAAAGGGGCGTGGAGGGAGGTGACCTGTGGAGGGGCGGGGAGAAAGGTGTCTTCTACTGGCTTCGGGGGAGGCTGCGTGCTAGTGGGTGGCGCTGTGGGGCGGGGAAGTTGCTGGGGCCCTTGGAGTCACCAGCTCTCAACCCAGTCTAGGGCTTTGGGTCTCCTCTGCCCGCGCAGCTTGACGCAAGGGCTAGGGACTACTGGGCCAAACGTGCGCTCCCTGCTCCTTGTCTGCTGCCCCTACGAAGCTGCCGCGAACCTCGTCTTCTCGGGGCCAATTGCAACTCTTAAGAAAGCTTGCCTAGGGTGCACAACGTTAAACGTTTGCCCTTACCGGAAGGCTGTAAGGAGGAGGAAATTTACCTTGGTCTGTTTAAAAATGGAGCAAATCAGGAAAGCAAATCGTAAAGGAGAGGAAGTTAAAAGCTCTGAGCTGTGAAAATACGGTGATGCCTGTTGAAATCTGGTCGTTAACAATGTGATTTAAGTTTAAGACAGTCTATGCACCCTTTGAAGCAACAGAGTGGACGGGTTGTACTTGTTCTGTTCCCCTCCCTACTCCCACCCAGGCTCAGGAAAACTGGAAATGTTGGGCAACCGCAGGCACGCCTGGGGAAGGGTAAGAGAGAGAAATGGTGGAAGAGAGTGACGACGGCTAAGAAGCACATTCCTAAATTTGTGACACGAATCGTGATGGATTGGGAAGTCGATACCCATCCCCCCAAGTGGTCTGCCTAGCGAGTTCGGAAGGGATGGAACTGCAGCACACTCTTGAGCGTGCTCCCGCGCTCATCCTGCTCCAGTCCACAAGGGTGATGATTTTCGGCAGGTTTGAGCTGAGACACGGACGGGTAATTTAACTCACCTGCGTACTGAACTAATAAATCTGTCCTGGAAGAAGTGCTGCCGGAATGCTCCTTGAAAGCGAAAATGGCCAGACTTCGTCTGACCTACTTTGGTCATGTTGTCAGAAGGGACCATTCCCTGAAGAAGGATATCATGCTGGGTAAAGTGGAGGGTCAGCGAAAAAGGGGAACGCCCTCAACGAAATGGATTGACACGGTGGCTGCAGCAGTGGATTCAGGTATAGCAAGGATTGTGAGACTGGCGCAGGACCCAGCAGTGTTTGGTTCTGTTACACATAGCGTAGCTATGAGTGGGAGCTGACTCGACAGCACCTAACAACAACAGCAGCACACTGAGCAAATTAGGTTTTTTAAAAAACTGATTTGTAGAGCTGGTCAAGTGTGCAGCAGAGTGGATGTTTTCAGGAATATAATTCTATAACTGATTATTTTATAAGTTTTTGCTATAATCTAAACTCTGCACAAAATGGCTATTAGATTGAGTTGTTAGGGTCCTTATCACTCAACCCTGTTAATGGAAGACTGTCACCATCCCTCTAGAAATTCAACTTGTCTTTGTAAGTAATAATAGGAAACATTTATTACTTGCTCTGGGCCAGGCACTGTATTGTGTCTTATATGTATTTATTAACTCATTTATAGGTTTTTAAGCTATAGAAATGTGACATTTGTGCACAGATATGTAGAAGCTTGTTTATTTCAGCCCAGTCTGTAATAAAAAATAATCCCAAATCACACGAATGTCTGTCAATACAGGAATCTTTAAACTTATGATATATAAATGCCATAGCATATTACTATGCTGATTATGTTATAGTTTAAAAGATTGAAATCATTATATATTGATACTCTTCTGGTTACTATGGCTGCATTGCAATTTACACCCAAAACTTGGTGCTCTAAATCAACCACCTGTTAAATGCACAGATTCTATGGGTCAGGAATTCAGACAGGACACAGAAGGGAAGTGTTTTCTCTGCTCCGTTATATGTAAGATCACAACTGGCAAACTCAAAGAGTGAGGGCTGGAATTATCTAAAAGTTTTCAGTCTCATGTTGGTTATGATGGCTAGAGACTGGAGGCCTCAATTCTATGCCATGTGGATTTCTCCATGTGGTGGCTCTGCATGGACTGGTTTGGGATTCCTCACAGCATGATGGCTGAGTTCCAAGGGTGAATATGCTGAGAGACAGCCAGGAAGAACTTAGAAATCATGCGATGTCACTTTTGCTGCCTTCTGTTTATATTGTTGTTGTTGTTGTTATGTGCCGAGTCGGCCCTGACTCATAGGGACCCCTCCTTGGGTTTCCGAGGCAGTATCACTGGCCCTGACTCATAGGGACCCCTCCTTGGGTTTCCGAGGCAGTATCACTGGCCCTGACTCATAGCGACCTCTCCTTGGGTTTCCGAGGCAGTATCACTACGGAAGTAGGATTGCCCAACCTTTTCTTCCGATGAGTGGCTGGTGGGTTTGAACCACCAGCCTTCTGGTTAGCAGTCAAGTGCTTTAGCCACTATGCTACCAGAGCTCCTGGTTTATATAGGTGGTTTTAAATGTCTCATCCAGGTTTAAGGGAGGGGGAAATAGATCCTACCTCTTGATGAGGAGTAACAAGTTTCTAAAAAAAAAAAAAAAATGTGGGACCAGAAATATTGCAGTAGCCATTGTGGAAAATACTTCTTATTGCCACATTGGAAAAAGGAAAAAAAAAATATTTTCCATCAAGTGGATTCTGACTCATAGAAAAACCTCCTAAATACCTTATTGTGCACTATCTAGTGGATTCTGACTCACAGCAACCCTGTAGGACAGAGTAGAACTACCCATAGGGTTTCCTAGGCTGCAATCTTTACAGACACAGACAGCCAGGTAAACAAGTTACATAGTAAGTACAGTATGACCCTCTTTTTTTTTTTTTAAAGCACAAAACAAAACCACATTTCCAAATGTACATACTTGTTTAAAGACACAGACTTTTCAAACCCCATAATTTCTAAGTGTAACCTAGGTGTCCAGCCTAAGAAACAGTGATCTGCTCAAATCATGGAGGAAAAACTGGCTAAACTGACCCTACACCATACCTCAAGAAACGTTTAAGAGGAATTTTATTTTGAAAAAATGTCTCTCACTCATTCACTTTCAAATATAACCCCCTACTAGATAAGCTGTGACTCCACTGTAATGAGAAATGGCAGCAAGTCTTGATGTTCTTTCCCTACTGTAAGTTGACACTAAGCTTTCTTACACTGAAAGGCTGGCGTGGTGTTGTCCAAAGTTGTTTTCAGAGAGTTGTGGGACCTTGAGGTCAGGGACTGAGTCTTACTTATTTTGTATTCTTGTATCTAACATATAAAATGTTGTTAGGTGTCAAGTCAGCTCCAACTCATAGTGACCTATGTACAAGAGAGCATAGAAGATGGGACTCATTAACTTTTTTTTTTTTTTTTTGACAGAATGATGCCATTCTCTCATTTAGCGGTCTGGGATGTTTATAATTACAAAGTAAATACTGGCCTCTTTAACAAATTAATAAACTAATAAGTTTTCTGATATCTAGGATCCATTGGAGGGCATTAGTGGTTCAGTGGTAGAATTCTCACCTTCCATGGGGCAGACCCAGGTTTGATTCCCAGCTGATGTACCTCAAGCATAGCCGCCACCTGTCAGTGGCAGTTTGAATGTTGCTGTGATGCTAAGGTTTCAGTGGAGCTTCCGGACTAAGGCAGACTAGGAAGAAAGTCCTGGCCATCTACTTCTGAAAATTAGTCAGTGAACACCCTGTGGCTCACAATGGTCTGATCCCATTGCGTGTGGGCTCCCCACAAGTTGGGAGCTGACTCGACAGCAGCTAACAATAACAACAACAAGATTCAATGGTTTTATATCCCACTATTGAAATCCCAATGATGGTCCTCTCAGTCAGATTACTTACAGGAAATATTTCATTGTTCTTATGAAATATTTTCTTTATTACTCATGTTGCCTTGATATGGGGGTAGCATTATTTTGAACATAGGGACAGGATTGTCTCACTCCAATGCTTTTGACATATTTGCCTATTAGGAGATGACTATGGATTATATGATTGATACCTGCTATATATTTTCTGTGAAAAGACAACCAATTCCATGATTAATAACTTCATTGGAAAAAACGGCCTAAGAGTTAGGGAAGAATAGCCAGAGATACTCTTCTATTTGGATAATTGCTATTTTTATTTTTTTGTATTATCCCATGAAGCAACAGTTACTCCCCCCCCACCCCCTTTTTCAGCTGTTGTCTTTGTTCTATTTTCAACAACAAAAGGACACACTTTATATTTTTTTAGGTCCAAAAACAAAACAAAAAACCTCTTCATTAAGTCAATTAAAATAACCAACAGCAATTTAGGAAAAACAAACAAACAAAAAAACCCCAACATCCTAAAGTAACTTCCTGCAGTTAGCTTGGAATGAGAGGGAAAAAAAATCCTTTCTAATTCTTTTAAAAAGTTAGACATTTCCCCTTTTGGGGCTAGCTTTGAAGGGCAAACCTAGCTGTGTACGTACCTGAAAGTTACTGTGGGAATGAAGACATTAATAATGCAGATGCTTTAAGTTCCCTTCACTCAGCAGGATGACCTTTATGCATACTTACTGCATAATGCAAATATTTGTGTGGTTTTATTTTACATGCTATTCTTTTTCCTACTAATCTATTATATATAAAGCCCTGAATATGAGTGTCTTTAACTTTGTTTCATCCCAGATGAAAGACAGAAAGGACATACATCCAGTTTGAGGGTTATAGAATTTAATCACAGGATGACTGTTAGTATATTATTTTACTACCTGTAATCCTGGAACACTGAGATTTTTGGGGACAGTACTTTAATTAAAGCTTTGACTATTTTCTTTGGGGTAGGGAGTGACAGTCTTTTCTTTAACCTTCTTTCCCTTTGAAAACAAGCGGTTAGAAGCTCCACTTGTAGTGTCAGATTTTGTTTGTAGAACTAAAGCCTCTAGGGAATAAATGGGACCAGAGAGGGCTGTGGTCAAATGATTTCCATAATTTTCAACCTCATATTCATTCTTC